ATCTTCTTAAAGTTATGTCTAGCTCTTTTAACTTACTGATACTTTCATGTTCTCCAACAGTATATTATTATACTTTATTTGATATTTTTTCTTTTTAATTTTTATTAACCAATAGTTTTAATATGCAGACTGGGGCTGGGCATAGTGGCTCACGCCTGTCATTCCAGCACTTTGGGAGGTCAAGGCGGGAGGATTGCTTGAACCCAGGAATTCTAGACTAGCCTGAGCAACATAGCAAGATCTTGTCTCTACAAAAAAAAAAATTAAAAAATTAACCAGGTGTGGTAGCACATGCCTGTAGTCCCAGCTACTCTGGAGGCTGAGGCAGAAGGATCACTAGAGTCCAGGAAATCGAAGCTGCATTGAGCCGTGATCATGCCAATGCACTTCAGCCTGGGCGACAGAGTGAAACCCTGACTCAAACAAAACAAAATAAAAACAAACAACATAGGCTGTTCTGAATGACCCTCTCTCAGTGGTATGTCTCTCAAAGGAGCACCCTGCCCCCACTATTCCCCTTTTTTTCTAAAACACATACCTTAAATATTCACTATCATTTATGTCATCGTCAGGAAGCTCAGTCTATATGAACAGAATTGCAAATAGGAGTTCAGTTGTGATCATTGATCCTACAGAGTCATATGAGATTTGTTTTTGCTTGGTTCAAGTCAAAAGTTCAAACGAGACACAGCCTTGGTAGAAACAGCCTGTTCTCGCCTCGTGATGTCTTTGAGTCTGATAATCCCCTGCCTTTTACACTGAGCACAGCTCCCAATTCCGTTGGAGTTTGAGAAGTGGCATGATCACAGCTCACCACTGATATCTTCTGGTCCCTTGCTGTTTGCCTGGGATCTGCATTTTGAGGGCTGGTGCTGTGGGGATAGTCTCTGGCCTGTTCAGACTGCTCCAGTGCTGGAACGCTTTTGGTCCTTGGGCTATCCTACTTCTCAAGTGCCCCAGCAAGGTGTTCTTGAGAGGTGTTTGGTGATGAATCTGACTCCTATTAACCTGATGCTACCATCACTGGGCAGCTCACTGATTGCCATGCCCATTGCCAAATGGGTCGTGCTCAGGATGGGCATGTTTAAGCAGCTACACAGATTATTCTCAGCCATATATTCCTGGTTAAGAACCATTGGTATAGATGTGCTGTCACTTAACCCACCAGTCTTCTCTTCCCTCCCTCCCTCCCTCCCTCCTTCCTTCCTTCCTTCCTTCCTTCCTTCCTTTCTTCTTCTCGCTCTCTTTCTCTTTCTTCCTCCCTCCCTCCCTCTTTCTTTCTTTGCCTGCCTTCGTTCCTTCCTTCCTCAGGGTCTCACTCTGTCACCCAGGCTGGAGTGCAGTGGCATGATCACAGCTCACCACAGCCTTGATCTCCTGGGCTCAGGTGATCCTTCCACCTCAGCCTCCCAAGTAGCTGGGACTACAGGTGTGTGCCACCACACCTGGCTAATTTTTAAAATTATTTTTGTACAGACAAGGTCTCACTATGATGCCCATGCTGGTCTTGAGCTCTTGGGCTCAAGTGATCCTCCTGCCTTGGCTTCCCAAAGTGCTGAGATTACAGGTGTGAGCCACCACCCCTGCTCCCCCCTTAATATGGAGTGCTTCACAAATTTGTGCACCATACTTGTGCAGGAGCCATACTTATCTTTTCTGTCTTGTTCCAATTTTAGTATCTATGCTTCTGAAGCAAGACCAGTCTTCTAGTCTTGATGCTCAGTTTGTTTCCAATTGTTTGCTGTTAAATAATGCAACAGTGCACATCTATGTGGCTAAGTCTTTGTTCTTATTTCTACTTTCTGGGATAAATTCTTAGAAGTCAAAATATAGGGTCAGAAGAGTAGGTACCTTGTTAAGGTGAGGCTATAGGTACGCTTTGAATGTGGCCAGTACCATGAGAAAACATAAAGGTGGCTGGCAGAATGAAGAAAGCATTGGGCTAGGTGTGAGGAGGTCTGGACTCAAGAATAGGCTGTGCTGCCCAGCAGGGCGAGGCTTTGGGCAAATTCCTTCCCTGCCTTCAGTTTTGTTTTCTTCCTTTGTAAATGAGTCTCATTATGAATCTCTGTGTGAAGTGATTGTGTGGACATAACCGTCTCAGCCTTGTAGGCAGGTGTATATAAGGAAGGCAGAGCTGCTGGATCTCATGGTGAACTTTTATGACAACGAACCTCCCTTTGTGCCATGGTGGTGGCTTACTTGAGAATTGCTTCAGGGTTTTAAAGAGACTGTTGCCATCCTCTACTAGAAGAAAGTAAAATCTAGGTTACTACCAGGAGTCTAGTTCATTTCTGGCCTCTTATAGACACAGATCCAAGAGGCTTCCTCCACACATGTGCCATGGATGTGCTTCTAAAGCTGCTTACTCCAGTATTAATCTCTCTTGTATCTTTACAGAGAAACTCTATGGAGATGTTCCTTTTATAGAAGAAAGACACAGACATCGGTATGAGGTATGACTTTTCTGCTGAATTACTGTGGAATATGGGTGTGGAACCCAGTAACCCTCTAGAAAAGGTGTCCAGTCTGGTGGTATCTGTAGGACTTAGAGAGAGTGTGCCAGATTTCCCACAGTTTTCCACTCCTAGAGGAGGCAGACAGGGCTGGTGAGACTCTGCTCTTCTTGACCTTCCAAAGGCAAGAATCTTAACGTATCTGCACATGGGCATATCAGCATTTTGAGTTACTCTACCTGCTGTCACCTAGACCAAGACTTCCTCTTTATTTTGCCAGGTTTGGGGAAAAGGGGACTTGAATCTTCTGAGAAGTCAAGTGCCTCTCAAGATAGAGATGCCTCCCTGAGTATGACAAGGTGGATTCTAGGTTTGCGAACCTCTTTGGAAGTTTGTAATGAGCTTGAGGTTTAGTGTCTCATGATTAAGAGGAGTTAATTGTTGAGATTGCCACATGAGAAGCATAGGTTTCCAGAAATGCAGATCGTCTATACCAGGATTAATTAGCGCATCAATCATGATGCTTTTGGCAGTGAAGAAAAGAAATCCCTGCTTGTTATCACTCAAACCAGACTAAACAATAAGGGAATTTGTTATCTCAGGTACCAGGTAGTCCAGAGGCTGGACAGGTTTCAGGCATGTTACACTCAGGGCTCCTGTTGTTTCTACAACTCTTGGCCCTACCCTTTTCTGTGTGTCTCCTTTGCCCTCTGATGGTCTCCCTCATAGTTGTAAGGTGGCCATCAGCAACAACGGGAGTGCCGTGCATCTCTCCCATATGAGTTAGTAACCATTGCCAGGGCAGTGCTGAACATCAGTGGGCTTAAACCTGGATTCTTGCAACATTCATCTGCCAGGAGAGATGGGCTTATTGTGTTTGACTTAGACCAATTAGGACTAATTTGTGGAATGGGACAGATGGAGTACCATGGGCTATGTTGGGGTGCAGTGGATACCAGAACAAACCTAGGAGTCTGTTTTGAAAGAGGGCCCATTGAACCAATGCTGGGTAGGCAATGAATAGTGTCACTATGACCAAGGAACATTGCCAAGTGTAGGCCATTTTGGGGCTTATTTCTATTGGTAACTGGCCCAACTGATGGGCTAAAAACTATTGGACTGCTTTGCCTAAGTGGTGATGAGAAGATATGAGAACTGCTGTGCATACTACAGTGTCTCTATTCACTCATTCATGCTTATTTTGCATTTAGTAAGCACTGGAGATAGAAGAGTGAAAGACAGACATGTCCTCTCTCTTATTGGGGAGATTACATTCTAATTGGAGAGGACAAAAAATATGATATAGTAATTGCGGATTAAATCATGTGTTGGATAACAGACTTGTGTCTAGACTATATAAAGAACTCTTACACCTCAATAATAAGTAATGGCAAAGGATCTGAATAGATATTTCTCCAAAGAAGGTATACAAATGGCGAATAAGCACATGAAAAGATCAGCAACATCCTTAGTTACCAGGGAAATGCAAATCAAACCATGAAGAGATACCACTTCACACACACTAAGATGCCTATGATCAAAAGACAGGCAATAACCAGTGCTGGTGAGACTGTGGAATAACTGAAACCTTTGTGCATTGCTAGTGGGAATGCAATATGGTACAACAACTTTGGAAAACCAATTGGAAGTTCCTCAAAAGGTTAAACATAGAGTTACCACATAACCCAGCAATGCCACTGCAAGTATGCCCCCAAGAGAAATGAAAATATCTGTTCACACAAAAATTTGTGCATGAATTATCATACCAGCATTATTCGTAATAGCCAAAAAAGTAGAGACAATTTAAATGTCTACCAGCTGGTGAATGGATAAGCAAAGTGTGCTATAGTCATGCAATGGAATATTATTTAGCCAGAGAAGGGAATGAAGTAGTGATACATGTGACAACATGGGTAAACCTTGAAAAAATTATACAAAGTGAAAAAAGTCAGTCATGGAAAACCACATGTTGTTTGATTCCATTAATAGGAAATGACTAGAATAAGCAAATCCATAGAGGCAAAATGTAGATTAGTGGTTGTCAGGGACTGGGATGGGGATGATGGGCACTGGGAAGATGATGGTTAGAGGGTACAGGGTTTATTTTGGAATTGATTGTGCTGATAGTTGCAACCTCTGTGAATATACCCAAAAAACCATTGAATTGTACACTTTATTTAATTTTAATTTTTTTTTTTTGAGTTGGAGTCTCACTCTGTCACCCAGGGTGGAGGACAGTGGCATACTCCCAGCTACCATAGCCTCGACCTGCTGGGCTCAGGTGATCCTTCCACCTTAGCCTTCCAAGTTGGAACTACAGGCGTGTACCACCACGCCCAGCTAATTTTTTGAAATTTATTGTAGAGATGAGGTCTCACCGAGTTGCTCAGGCTGGTATTGAACCTGTGGGCTTAGGCAATTCTCTCACCTCAGCCTCCCGAAGTGCTGGGATTATAGGCGTGAGCCACCGCACCCAGCTGAATTGTATACTTTAAATGGGTAAATTGTATTGTATATAAATTGTATCTCAATAAAGCTGTTACA